TTCAATTCGTATGCCAATTTTATTTTATTTTGAATGTGCTGATAATTTGAAATGGCGGCTTGAATCACTCTCAAAGATTCTGTGAGCTTTATATATTTATATTTGGCATTAATCTTCACTGAGCAATGCTTCCAGTTCCTCATCTTCAAACTATTTTGGCCGTGTAAGTCGTTATTCATCTTCAAAGAGAAAATCACCACTTTAAAATTGAAAAAAAAAAAACACTTTTGGCGAAACCTGTACCAAATTTCGATGCTTATCGGCTGAATTTTTCTTCATATTAAGGAAATAAAGACTTTTTTAGGAAAGCACTGTTTCAGGCATAAAGACATATGCCGAAAAAAACGAGCACGAACAGTAGCAGACGCATGTTCGAAATATTAGACCAATGGAATAATAACCAAGTTGCACCATCTCTGGCAAACCCCAGTTTCAATATTGGTTAGAAAATAAGCCAGACTTACATACATCAAATATATTTCTTTAATATTTACATCGAAATGATTTGATTACGATTTGCACCAGACATAGACCATTAAAACAAGCCGTGCAGAGGCTTACTTCATGGTCGAACTATCGTGAATATTCCTCACTACAACTAAGCTCCACTGCAATCTAAACTGACTAACGTCAATCCACTTAAGATAGATTTTATTTTCAAAACAACCCGCTTGTAATTTGAATTTGCAAGAAGTTCGTGTGTGCTCTTTAATTTTCGTGCCGAACAAGCGACCTGATTAAAAATTCAACAAGCCAGTCAAATTGTGACAAAAAAAAACACCCGAAAATTTTAATTAAATTCATATATAATATTATGATATTTCAAAAAAATGTCCTTAATTATAATGTCAAATATGACCGTGGTCTCTCAACCAGTTTGTTTACAGCAGCCGCTTAAGTCGGTACACCTCAGTAGTGCGACGCGATTTCTATAAAAATAAAGAAATAAATAAAAATCGATAAAAATATCGAACAAAGAATTTGTCTCAAATTTTGTATTTATAGCCAAATTTCGTGTGCGAAATCGTTGAGAATGTTGAAAAAGACTTACGGGTTTTGGTTTAGTTTTATCAAAAACACAAACCTGCGAGTGGTACAAAGAATTCTAAGACGGTCAAGAGATCGTTTTACATATGCCCAAAAAAGATATGGTGCTTGGAAATAGTCAGGCAAATGTTAGAAAGATGGTAAGAGAGCTCGACATCTCTCGCGACTCCGTTCGAATTATTTTGGTGTAAAATTTTGTTATGAAACGTGTTCTTGCTCGCTTTTTTTTCAAAAAGGGTACCGTAACAAGCATCTTGAGGTATGGAGAGACTGGGTTTATGAGTTCATAATTCGCTGAATGAGCTGAAGGCCATCCAAAAAAAGTGCTTATGAAAAGTGTTTCGAGGACTGGAAAAAATCATTAGCTTAAGTGTATTTTATCTGGTGTAGATTACTTTGAAGCCGACAAAGTAAAAATTGGTTAATAATTAAATGTTTTGTGTTTTATTTACAATTTATGGGGACTTTTTTTTATCAGAATGTATAATGTTGCGTCAAGTAAAAAGATGAAAATGTCAAGTAAATATGTGCAATTATTTTATTGTGCGATACATCACACGCTTGACAAACCATCAGTTGCCTAACAGTCTTCGCCACCAATGCCCATCTATTCAAGAGCCATTAGTCGCAATCAAACAATTAATTAATCATTTAGTACCGAAAATATATTAGCAATGTATCCAGCTGTGGATATATTTAGGACCCTATTATAATCATATGCATCTATGAGTGTATGTAACTATCCGGCTGTTAAACCGCAACGTAAGCATAGCAAATATTGACGAGACAATAATTCATAAAATCAATTATTCGGTAAAGATCATTAGAAAAAGTGCCATGGATTTTGGGCGCAGCACCTTATAAGCCAATAGCCAGCATATACATTCCTAAGTACACAAGTTTAGGTAATAAAATTTTTACTGTGCGCTTCACTAAGTAGCCGGAAGGAAGAGTAATGTATATTTGACTACGTAAACACACAGGGATATTTATTGTGCTACGGTAATAAACCTCCGTTTATTGCGGTACTTCATGATATATTGCTGCTCCTATTATAGTTTTCGTTTGCTCATATAAGTCATTAGTTTTTAAATTCCTTATCAAACTGTGAGGTTTTGATGAATAATCGCCACAAGCTTATTTCAGCTTTTTTACTTTTGACTTCACTCTCTTTCACTTTCTGAATGCGTAATTACTGGATTCCTTTACTTTGTTGGCGTAGACACGAGCTAACAACAACGCACCAGTCGTTTTTTTTTTTTTTTGCAATTTGGCGCCAATTCGAGATACCAAGTGCAGCAAGGTCCTTCTTCTCCTCCTCCTCTGCACCATATAGCAGTATGGTAATAATAAATGACTTATAGAGTTTGGTCTTTGTTCGTCAAAAGAGGACTTACTTCTCTATTGCCTACTCAGTCCGCAGTAACACCTGCTGGTAAGAGTTATTCTGCGCTGGATCTCGAGGCTGACATTGCTATAGATAATTCATTCATGGTATAAAGATAGTACCTTTTCCTGCTGTTAAAAGCAGCTTTGAAATCGACAAAGAGATGGTGTGTGCCGATCCTCATTTCACGGGTATTTTCTAAGATTTTGCTTATGGTGAATATCTGGTCGGACTGATAAGGTCCAATCAGTTTGTTGACTGTGTTTTTTAATCTTTCACACAATACGCTCGATAGAACTTTATATGCGATGTTGAGGAGTTCTGAGGAGCAATATTCTACAAAGAAGCTGATACATGCTTATCAGTCCTTCGTCGACGTATTTGTATAGCAATCCTCGAATTAGCATTTCATAATCTCTAGCTATTTAGGTTTTCTTGATGATGTCTTGAAAGTTGTACATATAAAAGTTTTCTACTTGATGAACTCCATAAAGACCATGTGGTGGTTCAGAGAAAACTTGATAGTGAAGGCATTTGAGTCCCGGTGATTTCACAATAGCCCACCTAAATACCTAGTTATGTCGCCAGTCATCCACCCTACCAACCTAATCCTTGCCGGCCGCTATACCTGCAATTGGTCCAGCAAATTTTTACTTACAACCTAATAGATTTAACCCAAAACGTTATTGCCAAAAAGTTTTGGAGAATATAGGAAGCTGCAAATTGCTTTTTAATGGTTTTTAGCAACATTTATACTTTGCATGAGTGTACTCTTTCGGAACTTTTAATGCATATTATTCGGCATAGATATAAAGCGGTAATATTATATATCCTAGTAGATTGAGTATTAAATTACTTTAATATTGAGGAATCTTAAGTTACTCCTTACTTATGTTATTATTGTGTTAAGTGACGCCGGTAATGAAATATCCGCACAAATTCCATCATGAACTGAAAAATCGAAACGTCAAAGCTTGTTAATATCATCATCAAACTAAATGAGAAGTGGTGGCGGTCCTAAAAAATACCGAAGTACTAAAAGGCAAGTGGAGCTTATTCTCTGAAATCGCTGGCGTCTTTAGAAACCGTATACATACATATCATAATAATTTAAAGGTTGATATAATCCTTTAACCACAGAAACCCCACAGATTAAATTTACTTAACTTTTCTGGGAAAGGATAACTTAGCTCAATCTTAGACTATTTCGTATATGTTTGATATGTTATACATCAGTAAATGTGGAACTGAGAATTAGCGCTTCGATATATTTGGTATTAGAACTCCTGTGCAAATAGTTCAGATCTATAACAATCTTGTGAAGTTTAGAAAACAATACTAGACCATTATTCTTTCTCATTAGAATACTTTAATAACGATTTACGATATTTAATAATATTGACGAGTAACAAATAATTATTTTTTTCTTCTTTATAGATCCGCAAAAAAGAAACGTGGTTTCCAGACAAAGGATATGGGACGTTTCATACTCTACTCACTCTATGGTTGGGGGCTACCCACGCTCATGACGACCATCACAGTGACGCTGGCCAAATCGGATTTACTGACCAATGAAAATTTACGTCCGAACTTCAAGCAGGGTCGCTGCTGGTTCACTTGTAAGTACAGCTATTGCGCTGTGCTCTCTTACCCAATTAATTAAAAGAAAAAAATCATTAAAAAAAAATCTTCTATTTCAGATGGTACTTTTGCTTCGGCAAATTTGCTCTTCTTCTCCGGACCGATTGGTGTGCTCTCGCTCTTCAACTTTGCGCTCTTTCTACTAACACTACGGTACTGTAATCGCGTGAAACGTGAAATTTTCCGCATGCAAAGTTCAAATGTCGAAAAACCGATTATGCGACGACGTTTCTTCGTGGATAAGGCGCGTTTTGCCATGAATACGAAACTGTTCATTGTTATGGGCATTACGTGGTTCATGGAAATATTGAGCATCGTTTTATACGATCGCAAGAAAGTGTTCTTTTGGGTCGTTAGCGATTCCTTCAATGTGCTTTTGGGTGTTTTCGTCTTCTTTATATTCGTCTTCAAGAAGCGCATCTGGCATGCAATACTCTTTAAATTAGGTTGGTGGTATTCTATTTAGACACATGAGATATACATATGTTAAACTGTTACTTATTTATTTGCAAATTTATAGGTTTCCGTTCAAATGATAGCCTAAAAACGCTACCTCCGGCCACCTGCGCTACACAGTCCACCTATGCGCCACAGACACAGAGCCTCTCGATAACGCGCCTAAATGCCATCGAAGGCAATCTGTCATTGCTTTGTAATGCGGCAAAGAATTAGCATAAGTTATGTGTTGTATAAGCGTCTCCAACTCATTATTGTATTTGTATTATTGTGCATTTGTCAAATTTGTATATTTTTTTTTTATGTTTTCGAGGTGTGTCAAAGTGCGTTTAGACACGAAAACTACCGATTCGCAAAGTTCGACACACAGCTACATATGCTTATGTATGTGTTTATATGTATGTTATTACATTAGCGTTACGCTTGTTTGTAAGCTATTTATTATATTTATTTACCATTAAAAGCCATATTTAAATTTATAGTGAAATCCGTGCGTATATTTTAATCAGACTTAAATTAGAAGAAAATACATGAAATTTATACAACAAGAAATATTTGTTATATTGAATCACGCGAGAACTCATCCGATCGGCTGGTAGCCAATTCTTCTACTTGCCGAAGCCAGCGAGTAGGAAAAGACCATAGCAAAAAGCGGAAATAAAGCCAAGACCGAAAGCATTACGCCAATGCTGGTGAGATTTGTGTTGATAAGTCGTATCAATTTAGGCAAACAACCCTGAAATAAAGATTGAAATATTTGAATTAAACATTCTTAGGTATAAGTATGTAGTGTATTAAAAACAAGAAATTTGTAGAACCTCATGGGTTTGTGAAATGAATCACAGGTTGTACGCGTATTAGGAATATTACACTTTCTTTTTTAAAAAGAGTCATTCATTTCGAGATTCCCCACTGGGGGGGAACACATTACATATATTCTCATTCCAAAGAACATGAACATAATTTTGCATTTTTTTTTTTTGAACATTGTATCTTTGAAATGTTGGGCGTGGCTACGGCTAAGATGGTTCAATTATCGATGACTCGTTCGAGTATTTCGACTGGCAACTGTCAAATGACACGCGTAATGTTTACTGTATTGAAGCGGGATTTTCAACATAGAATTCAGACTTTACATATCTCACAAGAAAAATGCTAACGGTGTGATAGCGCTCTATCTTTTTGGCCAATCGACCGGCTCAAAACGTGAAATAATATGTTCTTCGAAGTGTTCTCTCAATAAATCCATTAATTAATGCGGTGTGTGGGAAGTGGCGCCATCTTGTTGAAACCAAATGTCGCACAGATCATGATCTTCAAAGTTTAGCTCGAAAACGTCAGATCTTTTTGGAACTTTTCAAAAGAACATAGAGCGAAGCGATGTCCCTTGGAAAGTCGAGTGGCTTTAGTTCTTCCACAATCTGCATTTTGTACGATTTCAGTTTAAAATATCGACCTAAAATGGGCTAACTCGTTCTATACGTCAGTCCAAGTTTCTGCGAACGGTACCGAATCGACTTTCCACGGTCCTCGTGTACACTCTCAGCTACGGCTGCTATGTATTCTTCACTGCGTGCTGGACAAGGTCTATTCGGTCGAATATTATCCAATAATAAATGCTTGGCCTCAAAATGGGTGATGGTGCGGCGAATAATACGCTCAGTAGGCCTATTATGTTGACCATAAATTCAGCGAAACGATTTGTAAACATTGTTCTGGTTCTTAAGTTATGGAGGACAAGACAAGATTGAATTTATTTATCATTTTAAAACAGATGGCAAACTTTCTAATAATATCTTAATTATGAAATTCTTTTAAACCTATTCATTTATTACGAATGTTTTATTTCCTTAATTTTTGTAATGAGAATATAGGTGGCAACACAATCAAACAATATTATCAAACGATCGATACACAGGGTAGAAATCATGGCGTTGTATTTATATTCGAAAATATATTCAAATCTGTTCAACCTACTACTACTATTTACTTTGAGTTTAGATCGCTATACATTTTCGTAAGTAACTTTCGTTTGAAGTATTTTTTTTTAAACTCACCACTTCATGCAGTTGTCCAAATTGGTTACCCGAACAATTCTTGTTTGCGCCGCTGTCCCAGCAACATGAGTTCGGTAGCGAATCTTTCGGCCAATCCAGATGGTTTTTGCCGCCACAACATTCGAGCTGAAAGGTAGTAAAATAAAATCAAAAAAAAAAAAAAAAAAATAAAACAAAAAAAAAAAAAAAAAAAAAAAAAAAAAAAAAAAAAAAAAAAAAAAAAAAAAAAAGGTATCATGTGAGATATAAGAAATTACTAAAAATGCGATTAATTAGTAAATAAAAATAATGCCCCTGACTTAAACTTTACACTGATGGTGAAATTTTACGAGAGGACCGACTATGTTGAATCCAGGACCTATGTCAGACTCATTCAATGTGTGAGTTATCTTAATGAAACTCAGAGAAGGCATTTTTCTAATAACATCATATCTTATACAAAAAAAGATAAAATCGAGTGAATATTGCCGAAATATACCTCACATATCTTAATGGAACACAGAGAACATCTTTTTGTAGTAGTAATACGTAGTGGTTCCAAAAATGGATAAAATTGTATGAATCTGTTTTCTAAAACATAATTTGATTTAACACTGAATATGAATGAAATTGGTCTAGGTATAGATTTAAATTGGTATATACATACATATGTATAATTATGTAAATTTTTTAAGAGAGAAAAAATGTTATCATCAATATTATTATACATACAATCGTAAAAACAAAAATAATTAAATTTGGGAACATGAAAATCTTTCTCTCGCTTTTTCTGCAACTGATTTATATACTATATATGTTGCAGACATGGCTTATCAGCGCTGTGACCACCCGTGTGGGTCACTTTGCATTATGTAAACATGCTTTCTTTCTTTATTGAGAAATCTTATCTGGTTTCGAATATAATTTTCTTCATATTTATTTATTTATTTGTTTACTGATAGCTTACTTCTTCTTTCCTTATATACTTATTGAAGGTGCAACTCCTGCTGAAAGTAGTTATATTTAGCTACGACTCCAGAGATAGCGTGAAGTTATTGGTTTTAAAATAATCTCTGTATACATATATTGAATTCTTTATGTACATTCACACATATGTACATGTATAAGGCAGAATACTAGGCAAGCTGGAAAGTGAATGCCGTTTTTATGCATAGTCTCCACTACAAGTTAATTCATATATTTTGTAGTTAGCGCTTATTTTCAATTTTTAGACAATAAGTTAGATATAACCACAACGCAAATTTTTTTGAAAAAATGGGTAAAAAAAAAACGTATTTTATTATGGAATCTGCAATATCAAGCCGTTGAAATAATATTCTATCTGTGATTATGAATCCGAGCAAAACCAATTCGCGATTGCTACAAAAAATACCAAATAATACCTCGAAGTATTCACTTTGTCTAACATTGGAGATAATCATATATGTAACTGTTGCAGTCTAATGTTCTTCAATTATTCACAAGCTCAACAACATAACGTTAATCACCGATCCTTCAAAATCATTTCATTTATTTAAGCGTCGATTTCTGAGCGCAAACTGACAGCAAGTTTAAATCAGAATGATTATTTCTCCGTTTTGGCTATAAAAAATACGCTTCGATGTAGCCGGAGTTTCTCGTGGTTTTCAGTTCAGTAATTTTGGAACTTAAATGCCGAGATTCAGTGGCATGAATATTAATTCGATTATTACGTTTTCAATATTCTAAAACTTCTTCTTCAGATTTAAACAGTTATAACTAGTAAAAACTCATTAAATATTGAACACTTTAAGATTTTCGGGTTTTCGGTTTTGGTGGGAATTTTGAGATGTAATTGTTCAGATTCAGCGGCGTAGATATTTATTCCATTATCATGTTTCCTGATTCTAAAATTTCACACATGAGATTCGGAGATTGAAAACGTTAACACTAAAAAACATTATTCTCATTATGTATGAAACACTTTAAGATTTTCAGGATTTCAATATACGAATATTGGGATTTCATAATATCAGTTAAGAGCTTTAAACGATTTGAAAATTCGGGAATACACAAATATTTATATTAAGCGATTATGACCTTTTAGCGATTCTAAGATTTCACATCACAATTTTCGGGATCCCGAGATTTAAACAGTTAGCACTAATAACAATTATTCCCATTTGGTATTATGCGCTGCAAGATTTTCAAGATTTCAATGTAGGCATTTCGGGATTTCACGATAGTATTAGTTGAGAGCTGTAAGCAGTTCGAGATTTCGTGATTTTTTATGCATTTAAGATTTTCGGATTTTCAATGTATGAATTTCGGCATTTTGCAATACGTTGTAAACAATTTGCGATTCCAGTGTTTTGAATGTAATGATAATGTCGATATCGAAATTTTATTATTTATATTTTATAGTATTTTTTCACAAATTTCGGGATATAAAAATACGAATTTCGGGATTTCACAGTCGGGATCCCGAGAATTAAATTTTGTGAATTTCGGGATTTTTTTGCAAAAATTTCAGGTTTTAAAAATACAAGTTTCGGAATTTTTGTTATTTATCATACATGCTTCTGAAAACTTATCCTTACGAATTTTGGTATCCGGTAACCCTTCTAACTAAGCTCCACTTTTAACTCACACACACTTACATTATTCTGTATATAATCGATGAGAGTTGCGTTATTCGCAAGAAAAGGGTCATTTTTGTAGGCATTATAGTTGTTAACCTCCCGTTCAATACCGGCCGGTAACTCAGTTATCACACTATCCTTATAAGTGTATATGTAGATGGACATTAATATCAAAGTGAACATGGCAGCAATGAGGAAACCGCCATACTGTAAAATTAATAATAATAAATTCTAACTAAATATAAAAAGTAATCATTACTGATACTTACAATTACCAGCATCGTCGCATCTACCTTCACGATACACGAGCAGGCCAACGAAGCAGCAAACACCAAGATGCCGCCGACGATGAGCAACAGGTAGGGCACATAGATCGAGTAACCGCTACTGATCTTCAAATAGTTTTGAAAATCCGTTTGTAACCAAATGCCCGTTAGGATTATTAAGAGACCGGCAAACTGGAAAAATTATAAAAATATTATTATTTTTTTTATATACTAATAAAACTTAGAGTTTGTATTTATCAGGGTGTTTGCAACACTCCTCTTACTCACCCAAAGCAATAGGTTAAACAATAACAGCATTCCTCGTATGAAATTAAAGGAAAGCATAATGTCTGTCTGCTGGTCCAGTGTGCCCATACTATACCAGTTAAGTGTCGAATTTGTACTGAAAGCATCGCTTTTGAGTTGTGGGCAGCAGCGAAGTGCACCAAATTTATAAAAAAAAATACAAGCTATGCAGAATAAATATCTGCTTGCTATGCATGTGCACATATGTACATAATTACCATTCACATACTATATACATACATATATATGCATATGTAGGTTAGCAGCGGAATGGGCATATTAAGTATTCGCACTGATTATTTACTCACATAAAGATTTCAGCATTCTTATAGAAATGCATTTTATTTCTTTAATAAACATATTGATACATTTCTACATATTTACATATGTGCATTTTTGTATGTTTAAATATGTATGTACATATATATGAACAAGCGCACAAGTAGATCAATGCACCTCACAAACAATCAATTGATTTGTGTTGTTTACACACAGCACATACAACCATTCATACACGTTCTCAACTGACCACGAGCGCCGCTGGAAATGATAAGCGGAGAAGTCTTTGACATCGTCAACATAAGAAGTCACAAGCGAAACAACGATGTGACAGAACGAAGGCCACACAAATAAATCATTGCAATTCAGATGGCTTCGTGTAACAGCATCTGCATGCCGTGCATTTTTATATACTAGAGGCGGCCTTAGGCTACGAAACGGATTGAAAATTAGCGCTAATTTTTTTTTAATTTTTGTGGGGGACAACTTTTTTCACAATTCCAGAGTTGGAAAATTTTAACTTTCAGTTTTCATACAAACGTGCCCTTCATATGGGGGTAATAAGTTTTGGAACATTATTTCTTAGAGCGATTGTTTAGCAAGGACATACGCCGGACTTAAATTTGTAATTTATAGCTGATTATTGGTGAATCGGCTGCAATTGATATTAGCCGACTCAATAAATTTGTACTCTAGGCGTTTTTTTCAATATGTAACGGTCTTTTTGATCCATACCTAGGACTTCTAAGCCTCACAACGACCAGGCTGTCTAATTTGACTCATTCATGACCTTATAAGAAATCAGTTTACTTACCTATCTTAATCTAACCTAACGAACCGTCTCCGAGCCTCAGCAGGCATAGACAAATATCTTCATATATATTTCTGTAATGAAAAAGCTCCTTAAAAATCAATCATGCTTAAATCTGTGACGTTCATTGTACACAATTAACTCCTGTGAAATTATTTAAATGCAACAGGTTTTGATTTTGATGCCCAGACCCTTCCTAATGAACATATTAACAGTTAATGAGCGCTCATATGTGACGTATAAATACGAAGGCGGTCTGATAAATCGTACAGTCAATGCAGAGCGGGCCTGGGTGTTTACTATAACTCGATGACAGCAGTAAAAAATTATCTTATTTGTCCCGCCTAGGTGTCCGGAACCGGATAGAACGGAGAATAATTTAACAAAAAACAATAATCTCGTAATGGCAGACAGGAGATTCAGTGGCGCGAGGTAGGTGAAGTAGTACCCATGGCAAAACACTCATAGTGTCATACCGGACTTGAAAAAATTGTCGGCGCAATGGCTGCCGCGTTAGCTCACAATTTCAAAACAGTATTTTACGCTTTTTAAGCGCAATTTGATCATGACCGTCGACGAAACGTGCTATTATACACCATATGTATATCAAGTATAAAAACCGATTTAAACCGACTTCGTACAGTGAATCTGCTCCGAAGAAGGTCAAGATTAGTTTAATAATTAAATAAAGATAAAGTCTGTCGTTTTCTACACACAGAACAGTACATCTACATCGACTACAAAACTATCACTGAGATCTAACGCTTTCTAAATATCAAAAATTAATTATTCAGAAGGGTTAAACAAGTTGGACCAACGCGGCTCATAGTATCGAAGACTCTGAGACTATTTTGAGGAGCAATCGCCATTTTTTTCAAAAATTTCGTTAACTATTTTGATTGGTTGAGTACTTATCGGACCACCTTCGTGCTGCAGATTCAGACTGAACTTTTAACAATAACAATAGATGTAAGAGAGCTACGCATCTTTATTACATTTATAGATCAAGTTTGCAGTGAGCATGGAACCGAATCGGGGCTGCTATCATAAATGCACCAAAGTGATCAATCCATAATCTGTTGATTACAGAACACCGTCGCCTTTTGAAAAGCAGTGACTCACATTGTTTTCGTGACAAGTGCTTTGTCTGATGACAGAGAAAAAGTTTAATCTGACAAGAATTATTATTTTTTTAGTAAAGGAAACATAAAAAATTAAATTACAGAACGTAAATAAAGAGTATTTCCCTTAATTGTTCATGGTGGAAAAGTCATTTGCAGTCCTTGATCGAAATTATTAAGTTGAAACAGATTATTTTCTATCTTCTTACTTAGTACATACTTACTGGATCATAGAGATACACGCTACGTAAGCGTGGAATCCCAGCTAAGATACTCTCAAAACTTGTCGATATATAGGAGATAAAAGATCAATTAAATTCATTCTACATTTTAACAAAAGGCTACAAAATGACTCTGCACTCTTTTTGGAAACTAAGAAAAACTGGAAACTTATTTAATCAGCTTGACATTTTTATAATAAAAATGTATCTAAAGGCATGTATACCATGAATGAAGCAAAATATTGCGTAATATTTTCTGAGCCTCTATAATTTCGAAATTCAACTCCAGTAACAGTCAGCTTAATAATACCTGTGAAAATAATTTAAAACAAACTCGTTAAAAGTCTCTCATTTTCTTGGGGTTCCCACAGCACGTTATATAAGATGGGTTTTCTTTAACTGATACGAGTTGTATGGGTATTTGACTCTTCCTGTGGATTACGGCATAATGCTCCTTTAGCATTTATCACCTTGCCTTGGCGAAGGGTGTTAAGTTATAGCAATGGGATTCCAAAAAGGAACGGACAGTCCTCTTACGAACTAATTGCAATTTACTTTACTCAATATGTGGTTATGGATGAACAAACCCTCTGTTTGACGCTTACCTCCGATTGTGGGAAGTGTGAGAATACCCGCACCAACATCACCCGAAGCCAAGGAGTCGCAGATCTGACGGATTCCGATGAAGACAACATTCTCACCTTCATTGACGAGACGATAAAGTGTACTACCGGATATTCCAGTCTAAATACAGGGTTTTTCCGAAAAGTAATAGGTCTGATTTTCTTCCGCCGCGACTCCACTTCGAAGCGTGAGCACCAACTGGATTCATTAAAGGGCGTTCCTAGCTAAAGAATAAACAGCACCTGGAAAATCAGCATAAACATATTCTCGCTGCGTGTTTCTGTTGTGCAGCATTTGTTAGAGCAGAGGTACGCGGTTAAATTCTGTGTGAAACTCGGTAAATCTGCAAATCAAGCAGGCTTATCCAGATGTTGTTTTAGCAAGAAGTAGTATGGCACCAGGCCTTTTTGGAGGGCTGTTAAGAGGTCGCTGATGAAGACCGTGCTGGAAGACCTCTGACTTCGATAAACACCGAAAATGTGCAGGGTGTACGCGAAGATGGTCTCAAAATTGCTCACTGATGACAAGAAATTGCGGCGAGTGAAAGTGTGCCCAGAAAATTTGAACATGTGTGAAAGTAACCCCCAATTTTGAATAACGCAATCACAGGTGACGGATCTTAGAGTATGAGGGATATTAGAGTATGATCCGAAACAAAGAGGCAATATTCCCAGCATTTTGAGACTACAGAGGGAATCCAAGCAGCATATACCTCGGCTCTCAAAGCTATTCCGAAGAATGCCTTCCGTGACACCTTGGAAATCGAGCTGACAGCGCTGCATCGACGCAGATGGATCATATTTTGAAAGTTTTTAAAGAAAATTTTTTTTTTCTATCGACTCAGTCTTATTACTTTCCGGCCAAATCCTGTAAGCCTGTAGTGACAGCAGCAAAAATGGTGGGTTGTCAACCAAAAATACCTACAACTTAAATATGAAAAGAACTAGAGTATACTGGCAGCCAAAAGAGAAGTACAGTTCAGGAAGAGGAATACAAAATTTCAAAATCAAGTGAGGAAAAGAAGGGCAGTCTTTGTACTTGGAAGGTAGCCTATAAATAGCCTGCTGGCACCTCAGTTAACATAGAGGAGATCAAGCGGCAAACACAAACAGTCGAGGGATACGAAAGTTCCTGAAACCAGAACGAAAACGTTGAACCATCGTTGTGCGGTGGAAATGGAAACTGTATCGGATCCATAAACTGCACAAATTTTATTGGCGGCTTGTGATGCATTTTTGCCTTTATCGTAGTAGTACTGTAAAATATGCCGTATTTTTTCTTTATTTTGCTCCATGTATGCGACGATATAACTCACGAACGACTTAAAAGAAACGACAATCACTCAAACACGTGTTAGCGCGTGAAATGAGCTTTCCAAAATGGTGTAGCATGACCCGATGCGACGAATAAAACTAGAACTATGAGCTCTCAGCGCCAACTAGCGAAAATACCGCAAGACTTTTTTGACAACCTAATATATATTTTATATCAAATATTTCCTTAGTATAAAGTGGTAGAACTGAAGAAGAGGAATAAACTGGTTTAAATAATTGTTCGATACCCTGAACAGTTTTTGAGATATGCATTGCACACGCTCTTGTCTCCCATTCATTTGTCGTACTAACTGACCGATCGGAATCAAGTCGTTGTATGGAAACTAGACCAAGAACTCTCAACTTGGCAGAATTCCGCTGTTCCAACAGCAACGAATTCCATACAAAAAGAAACACTTTTTTTACATGAAGGGTATTAAAGCTACGGCGCCACGGGGTTCATGTTTTTCCTGCTTCTTTTTTTCTTGAAATTAATTAATATTCTTGCATTGTTTTTGTGTTCTTTATATACTTTTTTATTTATCTTCTTTTTATCGTATGGTGAAATTAAGTGAACTATGTATGTTTAATTGTTTGTAGGTATGTAGTATGTATGCTTACATAACATTAATGCAAGTTCTAGTATGTATAGTATGCAATATTTTATTTATGTTTTTATTTTAAGTTTCATTAATTTATTTCCGTTTAAATTTGCTTTTAACTGTTGTTGTTTTAGTAGTTGAGAAATTCCTTTAAGATTCAGTAACAAGAAGTTCGTAAAGATATGTAGCGTATGTGTGTCTGTATACTTTTTGAGTGTTTAACTACATAACTGTTATACATATGTATATGGATAACTGTATTTTGGGGGAGGTGAAAAAGTTTTCAAATAATTTATGTAAATAAATAACTGCATGTAAATATATTTTCTCTAATATTATGTATTTACTGCTGTTATGTGGTGTGTGGGTGTCTAGTAATGTATGTTTGTATGCGTATAATTTTTTATTAAATTCAAATATCAACTCTGAACCTCGAACTTTTTTTAATATTTTTTTGTTTTTCAAATATAATACAATTAATTTTGAGAGTATTTATTTGCCTTTTATTTAATTATTTATATAAGTATGTATGCATGTATGTTTGTATGTGTGTATGTAACTATAAGTATATAATTAAATATAACTTTAATTTATAAGTATATCATTTGCTTTGCTTCATCTTCTTAGGTTTCATTCCATTGCTTTCCAAGACCACCCCAGTACAAGTATTGCAGTATACATTTGTGAATATTTGCTGGTATGTATGTATGTATGTATGGCTTTAGTTGTGATTGTAGGGATTTTGGTTTTTATACCGATGTGCAAGATGCTCGTTAGCTCCACTGTAAATAAAAATGTGCAGATTAGTAAGTATTTAAGTAAGAGCAAATACAAATTAATAAGTTTAGGATTATAACTGGAAGCACGCAGTGAAAATTTAAGGCGTTATATTCACCAAAGAATTTCGAAAAATGGATTTATTTTTTTATTCATCAAATGTGCATACATTTACATAAATGAAAATATTCTCCAAAAAATTTAAGTTGATCCTACAAATAGATTCGGAGACAATAGCACATTTGTCGAAATAAACTGGATCGATCGACTTGAGATTTTCAAACGATCTTCTAAGTTGAACCGTAAGAGGCCCTCCAAACTACTGGCACTTAGCAAAATATATTTCACCGCAATTATAGGTGAATATAATTCTGTCCAATAGATTCACAATTTTTATGGAAGAAGACGAGGTGGAATCATCTTGTCAATTTCTGCTCTATTTCCCGGTGTTTATCAGAATGAGATTTTTTATAGATATTACAAAGAATGAATATCTGTCCAAATGAGATTCGTCATTTTTGTATCAATTCTACGTCTTAATATAACCTAACCTTCTTAGATATTTGCCAAGTAATGATCAAAGGAATAACTTTTGGATACTAATTTCGATTTTTGACTGGCTTAAAGTGAAGTGTAAATTATTTTTACACAAAAACGACTTTTCGTGAAGCCACCTATATCATATGTTGTCTTATTGTATTGTTGTTGCTTTTGGATTGGATTTTCGAGCACAAAAATCTTCCTCCTTCCAAGACACCGTTTTTTCAGCGATCTCCAAGAGATCACTTAAGGGATCAAGGGAATCCAAAAATTTAAAATTTTCGATTTGTATCCGACGGTATTTTACAAACCTATTTCTGAAATGTTTCATACCGCTACAAACATAACGACAAAGAACCAGAGGACATATAAAGAGTGCAACTTCGAAATAAACCAGTATGCTCCTTGTTCGAACTTTTCAGAGAAAAAGTTTCTCTCGACACTGGTAGCTTGATCCAAGTTAGAAATAAACTGACAAAATCTGTAGAAATAGCAGGTTCCGGGTCTCTACTAATAGTAATAGTAATAATCAAAACTTTGTGGAGTAAAAGCTTGTTTAGAAGGGATGCGGAGAGATATTTTGTTTTTCTATAAAGCAAAACTAATTAGTTTCGGATCCATATGTGATTCAGTTTGATAAAAGGCAACGAAATAAGGAAAACCCCTTTGACTTTGAATGGCTCTCAAATATTCGTAAAATTCAATGTTACGACTTAAATGTGTGACACATTATAGTTTAATTATTGAACCATCTTAATACCTCTTAATTTCGAAGTCGAAAAATATAATATCTACATTGCTTCCATTTGTTTGTGTCCAAACTTGATTTTAAACCCCCAATATACTATATTTCTTCAAAGACTGTTTCCAGTTAAATGCCTTTTCTATAGTACTTTCCCACCCACTTACATATATCTCGTAAGCTCTTCAATATCCACCAGCATGGAATCTTGTGAGACATGAAGATCATCCCGTTCCATTAGATTATGCACTAGTGACTCATTTAGCTCTTCAATATGTGTGTGCAGACTATTGACGAGTATTTGCAGTTGCGCTATATTCATATCGGTTAGCATTTGTCGCGAGACACGACGTTTATCGGCGGTCATTTGGACGCCCACTTTGCGCAGCGAAACACGTATGATATCGGTAATCGGTGATACGCGCCGATTTTGTCGCTCAATCTGCAAAGAAGATAGTGGTACCTCAATCTAAACTGTAAATAAAAACTAAATTGAAGTCCAACTTACCTCCATTTGCATGTGAGCCATCTCTTTGGCTTGTGCCAAAGCCATGCGCGCTTCAATCTGCAGCTTGGCTTGCTTGGTGAAAAAGTCACACTCCAAATCCTCACTGCTGAATGCAGACATTGTCGTTTGGAAACTCTGTTGTTTGCTTTGTGAACGTTGCATTTGTTGTTGTGTTTGATATTTGTTGGCCGCAGCCGCCGAGCTGAGTGACGAAATTGTGGCGTGTCCACTACCTGCATATGGGTAGGTGGGTTTGTCGGCCAAGGATATATTAAGTGCACTCATATTATCCACTTGTCTAGCTTTGGATAACTTCGGGCACGTCTCTGAGTCTGAACTATGGCTTTCGGTGTCCGAAGAGGGATCATTTAAGCGACCCAACTGTGCGTCTGTAATGTAATTTAATTTATTGGCTAATAAAAGGTGTGAAAGTAATTTATAGAATCTTTTTACTTGCTAATCTTGACTGTATGCCTGTCTTCCAAGCATTTCGCTCCTTGGATTCCTGATTGTGTTCCTCAGAACCCATAGCCAAACGTCGACGTATTTCTTCCCGATCACTGCGACGCTGCAAGAGGAATTAGGTAAAGATTATGTTGATGCGAAAAAATACAAACAAGTTGAGAATTTTAAAAGAAGTTTGCAGAATAAAATAAGATTTATCTATCTCCCACACACACACATTGTTATTTTAGTTACTTAAGTTCCGGTCTGTAGATCTTTGGAATTACTATATTCAAGAGAGATAACAAATTAACCACATCGTTTTTCCACGAAGTATTTGAGAAAAAGATCGGTGTCTTTTCCCAAACTATTTCAATGAAATTTTTTACTATCATTTTGCACATAACCACCAAATATAAACCAGATACGAGTTAACTTCTGTTTTAAGTGTCATATATCATTCGCGTGGAGAACTGTTCCGTTACCAGTTCTTGGTCGGCTATAAATCCGGATCCATTTCGATTAGGTAGGACAGACTTCCTTGGGATCGGATAAAGCAACAGTCGAAACTGGACTTTCTCTCATAGAAATTCCCTTACAATGGTAACAAGACTAGAATTTATCATGAAAAACTCGTAATGGCTGTCTAATTTAAATACCAGGTTGTTTAATAAGTTTTGTCGTTCGATTAGAGAGAGGGTTGCTACTAGCCCAACTCACTCTTCAGATGAAAGTTTTCAAGCCATTTAGTGTCACCGTGTCACAGTATTTTTTTTTTTTTTTTACAATGAATAAAGTTGAATATCGTGCAGTGATAAGATTCGTATTTTTGGAAGGTGTAGCACCAAAAGAAATTCACGAACGAATGTTAAAAGTGCATAATGATTGTTCACCTACAATTAGAACAGTAGAAAGATGGAATGCTGAATTTAAACGTGGTCGTACAAGCCTTGAAGACAATCCACGTGAAGGACGTCCAAAAAACGCATCAACCCCAGAAATCTTAGCAAAAATACAGGATACGGTTTTGGAAGATCGTCGATTGACTGAGAAAGGTTTTCTAGAGGCTCTACACATCCCATTAGACAGTGTGAATCATACTTTAATTAAATTTTTGGGTTTTAGTAAGCTGTGTCCACAATGGGTGCCGCATTCGCTAACAATGGAACAAACACACATTTGAATGCGATATTTGGAGCTATGGATGAGACTTCGGTTTAACACTATGATCCTAAATGAAAGCAAGAGGCTAAAGAGTGATGTGAACCTGGTTATTCGGCTTCTAAACGAGTTCGTGCCCGGAATTCGGCCAAGAAGGTTATGGCATCAGTCAAGGATGAGAGAGGAGTTTTGTTTGTGAATATGTGGACTGGCAAAAAAAACGAATTCTGAATATTATTGCAACCTTTTGTACTAATTGCAGGAAAAAATTCATGAAAAAAGACCCGGTTTGCAAAAGAAAAAATCATTTTTCATCAGGACAATGTACCATGTCACAAGAGTATTTTGGCTAAAATCCATGAATTAAAGTTCGAATTGTTAAACCATCGACTGAGATACACGAGATTTGGCCCCCGGCGACTACCATTTGTTTCCAGAACTCAAAAAATTTATGCATGGTAAGCGTTTTTCAACTTCAAAAGAAGTGATCATAACAGATGATACTCAAATTCTTGTATAGAAAACCTTTTTATTTGACGAGAAATTTCTGAAGAAATTGTTCAGGTCGAATTACTATATGCATGCAGCAATCATACAAACTGAACGATCGGAATCAAGTCTTTGTATGGAAAGTTTTCTCATTTGACAAAATATCTTCAAGGAATTTGTCATGGCAATGACTATTATCTAAGGCAATGATCCCCGAACATACTATATTGCTCAGACCGGACCACATAGCTTATTGGTATAGCTCACATTGGAACTGACCGATCAAAATCAAAATAAAAACCTTTTATGCTATAAAAAATCTACCTATGAGGGGTATTATAGCTTTGATGGTTTTTTCTTCTTTTATATATGCACGTATTCTATCCTGCCGAGCTGTCTGTTTAGTAAGTATCCATAAACAGGTAGACATTTTGTGTGCGATAAATTTGAATTCTCTATCTCCATATCTATTGCGATAAGCAATGAACAGCATGGTAGAAAGAAACTTTTTTTAAGATTCATATGCGTCTAGTTTTGAATATTATATTGTTTTTGTAATCCAGCGATTTTGTTGTTATCTAGCGATCAGGACTTTCGTCAAACAACTAAAACTTTAGAATATATAGTATAAGTACCGCCAATTTTTTATTTTATTTTTTTTCAAAAACGGTAGCGAGAAATGGAAGCACTGCAGTCAGCTGTGTTTTGTTTACAAACAGATGAGAACGAAATTTAAATTTGTATTTTGATCGTTTAATCAAAACTGTCAGTTTGTAGATTAAAAATGCGTTTGAAAGTAAATTTTTCAGAAGTCTGAGATAAAAAATTGCAAAAAGGCCGTTTTGAGCTTTCAACTCTCAAGATATAAAATATGTGTATGTACGTATGTATATTATAAAAAAAATTTTAAGGTTTTTCGCTTGACATTTGCAAGATTTCTTCTAACTTCTTATATCATAAAAGTCACGAAAATATCGAAAAGTCTACACAATTCCTTCGCCCAACCTACACTATAGCGCTTGCATTCAGCCACATTTGGATCGGTTACGCGTTCAAATTTATCCAACACATCGATGAGAAATTCTGGCTCAATATACGTGCTAAGCTGTGATAATTCCACGAATTTTGTAGCCGTTGTTGTTGTTGTGGGCCTGTAAACGCGCGGAAACATCCATGCGGCGCCATCGACCACATCACTGTCAGTTTGTCCACATTTCCGATATTTTTTAAAACTTTTAAATTTGCACTTAATATCGAAAATTAATTTATCTAACATTTTCGCAAAAATTTAAAAGAACACGCACGTATTAATTTGCAGAAGAACGCACAAAAATAAGGATCGTTTAATAATATTTTGCTTGCAAGGATCTTTCTACTGTTCACGCACACACTCGTTCGAATACTGATTTATGCATTTACTTGTACACATGCCGATGCCGCAAAGACCCCCGGCCAGCAGAAGGTTCATATGTGCTTACACATAACACACACAGGTACTTGATATTGCATCGCATATACTATGTGCCATATGTAAGTGTGTGCGTGTCTAGGCAAAAGTCTTGTCCTTCAAAGGCTCTTTAGAAATCTACCCTGATCTTAGGCTAAAGTTGCACATGCAAGCATACAAAAATAATGCAAAGCCATACATATGTACGAGTATGCAGACAAGTAGGTCGTCTCCAGGGGTGCGCCTGGAACAGATGTTGTTCTTTGTTACAGTATTTCAATCAAGATCGCGCAGCGATTTCATTAAGTTTCTGGATGCTAACAGCAAGAAGGAAGCACTCGATATTCTTAAGATGCTTGGTGTGTATACATACATATTGTACTTGTATATGCATCTGTTTTCGGGGGTAGTTATGTATGTAATTTAAATTAAGCACTTTTACAAATATACATACTTACATATGTATATACAGTGAGTCAAAAAAGTGTTCATTAAAATGATCGTTTTACATTTTATTCATGTAATGATAAATTTTCGATGTTTTTCAAATTTTTGGTGCGATTGCAGATTTCATGCTTTACTTGCTATATATCGAGCGTGATTTTAATAAACGCTACCTCTTAGATCTCTCAAGAATTAACGGTACTTGAAGTGCTTCGTGAACACTTCCGTGGCTGGTGCATTCAGTTCACTTTTCTTGTTTGTTGTAAGCAGTTCTGTGTCAAATTAAGTAATCTATAACACATATACTCACTTTTAAATTGATTTTTAGTGTAATTTTTGATAGGACAAAAAAATGAAACAAGACGTTTTGGAGAGAAAAATTGTGCGAGATATTTAAAAATTTGGTTTCAAAAAATTCGAAAACAGACAAAATTGTCGAAAAACAATGTTAAAAATGATCACGTATCTCCATACGTGAGAATATCCTTAAAACGATTATTGTTATTGGGAGCTATAGAAAATTCGATAGAAGCCAAGAAAAGTTATTTTAGAGATTCTAAATAGTAATGACTGTAACGAAAAAATCTCTTATCCAACGCATTTAAAATCTGTGGACTGTGTTAATTGGACGCAAAGGTGGCCGTCAATGAAGCTTGTTCAAATAACCTCACAAATTTTAATTCACTTAATGCAAAATATGTCACAGATAATGAGTCTTAATATTTTTTATGCTAAGTGCGGGCATATTAAGTGAAACGAGCGATGTCCGAAACAAAAGTCAAAAAAGTGTGCATTTGACTTTAGACATCTTAGTTCCACCTTAACTAAATAAGTATATATATTTAATATTAAATTTTTTAACTTTTTTAAATTTTTTAAATACAATAGAGTTTCTAGAGCTGCTAATACTATTTTTTATAATTTATTTATTTATTTTATTTTATTTATTAAAACAATCTCTTATATAAAGGTAATTAAAAGAACGTTAATATTATGGCAGCTAATAATAAGCCAAACTGAGTAAATTGCTGATCGTGACAAATTAGCAGCTTTTTGGTGAGAAGAGAACGTGTGCCAAATTTTAGAACAATATCTCAAAAACTGAGAGTATATACAGACAGATATGTTCACATCGACTTAGCCCATCACACTGATTACTTATACATATATATATTTCATAGGGTCTGCGACGTTTGCTTTTGGGTATAACAAATATCGCCCCAAATTTAATATACCCTGTTTAGGATATAAGAACTTTCAAACGTTATAAAGTTGAGAGTTGTATGATTAAAATAAAAGTGTGAAACATTCCGGTTTCATATATACATATATACAGTGAGTTCAAAAAGTGTTCATATAGTAAGAAATTCTGCATTGCAGCTGCTCATTGGAAAAATAAGCATTGAAATGAATTTTTTTTTACGAGAAGTAAATTATATTTAATTAAAAACTTTTTAACATAAACAAGCACTTCATTCAATAATCTCTTGTGGCTATAATACATATAAAGTAATACAATTCATGTGAACAATATTTGAACTTAAAGTGGCGATTAAAGTTCAACAACTAATAACTGGTGCGCC